TGACACAATGAACACACCTGTTCATACACAATAAACCAGAGCAATCATATAACCTGTAATTTCTTGGCGCACAAGGAATCCTAAGATCCCTAGACACGCGTGAAGAACCAAGTTCATCACTTACAAATATGTCTACCACAATGTATCAAAAGATACAAAGGGTGACTTACACACACATGGGACTCTAAACCCTAGACCTTTATTTTACACTCAAGTTGTTCTTGATGTGAGTGCCTAATTTTTCCTTGCTTCTGCTCCTCCTTAAATAGTAGTGCAGACTGGGCTTGGGCTGGTCATAAGTAACAAACTTTAGGTTAAACAAAGTAACACTAATTTTCACAACTCAAGGTGCTGTCAAATTAGGTCACAGTTGCTTCATGTTATGTCCAGCCCTGACTAGAATCTCGCCTGAGATAACTTAAGAAGCCATAACAGGTTTCCTAAAATTTAGCCTGAGATATATCAGGTATCATAACAGAAAAACAAACCCTGCACGCCTGATGTCATACGACCAATGTCATAACATTCAGTCATGACATTCAACTTCACTTACTCTTATCTAACCAGACTCCCCCTGCTAACCACTCCTGCAGAATCTTCTTCGCAAGAGTAGAAACAAGCATATTATAGTTTCCTAAAAAGTCTCAAAGATCCTTTTTATGAACACCAATTAAATCTGCACTTTGTTCCTAATGAATCACTTTGGCCTGTACATACTGATGAGGTATATATATCCAAAGCACTTCTGTCAAGTGATACATCAGCAGCACCTGCTGTACCAGACATCGATGTCATGACATTCAGTATGACATTTACGACAGCAGTTCTGTCATCAGCTCCTGCTAGCTCCTGCTGCACCAGATGTCATGCTATTGGTATTGACATCCTGTTCACACCACATGATAGCAGTTCTGTTACCACAACTCCTGCTGTATTAGACAGCGATGTCATGACATTGTGATTAACAACACGTGACAACAGTTCTGTCATGACAGCAGATGGATGTCACGACATTCAGCATGACATTCACATTAAAACACTCCACAGTAGTTCTGTCATAACAGAAGATAAAGATGTTGTGATATTTGGCTTATCATCAGTGCTGAATCTTGTTTTACCAAAATTTAGTCAATCCTAGAACCATAGAACCATGGTACTAACAAATTGCTCGACTCGATGGGTACTTCTAGTGGTTTCCCGGAGAAGCTCTTGTATTTCTTTACCGGAGTTGGTTAGTGGCATAGACACATCTTAACTCTAAATCAAATATTCAAGAGACTAAAAATATCACGAATGCGCATTTAAAAAGAAAGGAACTTCACTCGCAAAAAAGAAAAAGAAAAACAATAGACAGAAAAAGAAGGAATAAAGGGCAAAGCGATTCTAATGCTTAACGAATGGGCCAATCAAAGGTTTGGAATGCTACCAGAATCGACAACAGCTCTTACCTTACTAGCACATTACGAAAATGGCCCTTAGCCTACTAAAGGCTACAAGACTGCTTCTACACGTACTACCCTCACTCTTAGATCAATACATAACTGACAAGAACTGCTTTTACATCCTCAAGCTAGAAAGAGGATAGGCTATTGGCGCTTCCTACAAATTATGTGGAAGGTAACAAGATTGTAGAATATTCAAGGGACCAAAAAAAGGGGAGGTCAACTATTGCCTCTAAAAGGGCCCGAGTACTGCCTAAACTAGTGTAAGGTTGTACTTCTAAAAAAGCTAACATAGCAATAGAAAATCCATCTAGTATTGACAAAAGAAAGATGGTGTTGGGGGGTCTCACTAAGGTGAATCTTATTGAACCTTCTCGTGCAAAAAAGAAGCATGAAATAATTTCTTCTACGTCTATTGCTACTGTAAGACCACCAACAGGGGGAGATGAGCAACATGTGGGGCATGCACACTTGGAACAACCTCGCCAAGAGTCTGCACAGATCTAGGAGTTAGGTTCTTTTATGGAGCTTTTAAATCACCAATTGCATTATGAAGACCCCCTAACCCAGGGGAAAACATGTGTCCTTTCGCTTTATAGTGCCACAAGAAGTGACAGAGGTATAGGGATAGGTCAATTCTCACTAAATGTTCCTCTAGTAAGGCATCATCACTAACGCACATGAGAAAAGACCAAGGAAAAGGTGAAAGGAAGGTTCAAACACCATGCTACACAACCCTAAACTCAAGCAATGATTTATTTTAGCTATTGAGTTCAGTACACCGTACTCAAACCTATACCTACCCTCATACCCTACGGTAAGTGAAAGGAAGCGGTACATTCCACTTTTTAGGGAGGAGCTGAAAGATAGACCTTCCTCTTGAAACATGGGGTGAAGTATTAGGGAGTTACACATCCATTTTTGGTCTTATATCCCTACCACCAAAACCAACAAATGCGGATTCAATAGCATCAGCGAGAGAGAATTCCTATTGGGTTAGCTTTCTTGGGGGAAAGGATACAACTTCCCCTTCCGGAGTTGTACTTGGTGGAATTTACGCCTCAAATTATCATTTTCCCATCGACCTTTACCCATACTAAACGGGTCATGGTTTACTGACGAACCGGTGACATGAAGCTTTTATTCTCAATTTATCCTTTCTTCCCCTCTACAGCCTCACAGTTGTCTTTGATTATATTTTTTATCGATAAAGGAATGACTCTTGGTGAGTCAATGAGCTCAAATCAAGCTAGAGAACTTCTTAACCAGATAGTGTGACGGTGGAACTTATTGTTATCTATCAAATCCTAGAGTTTAGTTAAGAACCTCGTAGGGAGGAAATGCCATCAAAAAGCCTTTTCCTCTCGGTGTCAGTGTTAGCCAAGTTAGCATCGGCTTCCCCAAAGTCATAATTTTCAGTCGATGACATTGATGAGTGATCCAACAGTCTTAAATGGTAGTTCTCAAAGGAGAAGGGATCTGAGGTACTAAGTAGCTATGGAATGAAGACGAACTAAAATATTTCTCTCATTCTCCTTCAGCCTCTCCTCTGACCACGAGTGGCGTTCTCTGATATGAGTAGTTCAGATCAGAGTACTGTGCCAATGTCGTTTAAGACAACTGAGTTTGATAGACTCTATACGGGAGGAAAGGCGGAGACACTCATAAAATTCTTCTTATTAATCACATGAATGAGTTTTATGGCGACTGACCTACGCATACTATTAGAAGTGCTCATCCTTCTCTCAGGCATTCTTTCGATTGCGTCTAAAATGAGACAAAACTTAACCTTTTTAAAGACATCCCTCGAGCCCCGCAGTTTTAACACATGATGGAAGTACCGTCAGATGAATAGAACCAATATTATCTCAACGACTATAGGTCAGTTGACAACAAGAAAGGAAGTTAAATTTTCCCCTATCTTGTATGATTTATGAAAGTAGGGTCTCTAGGAAAGTATATTGACTTGTTATCATTTCTCTCTGCCATTCAAAGAGAAAGACCCAGCACATCTCTTCCCTCTTAGAGCCAACCGTTTACTTCCTCTAACGAGCGAGTAAACAAAGTTAACCACTTACTACATTCTTTGAGAATCTTAGAAATTATAGCAAATTCAATATACAAATTATCACTCTATTCGAGAAACATATGATCGCAAAGTCATCATTAAATCTCATATGTATACATTTGTTCAAACAACACAATTTTTTAATTAGATCTCATGTATTCACATTTGTTCAAACACTTTTGTATTTGTTCAAACACTTTTGTTTTTGTTAGATATTGATGCTTTTCGATTTACCCGCATCAATTTGAGAGAAATGCGAATAGGTTTAATGTTTGCATATGCTATAGAATTTATATGTATTATTTATTAATTAGAATAATTATAATGGTTATTTCTTAGGATAATAAATTGCATAACTATACCTATGTTTTTTCTTGCCCCTATTATAAATTTCAAATTTTACCTAAATTTTTAGAGAAAAAGAAATATAATGTAAAAATAATTTTAGACTCTCAATCAATGAATGAAAGACATGTATTCTACCACATCACACATTTATTATTAAATAATTTTAGACTGTCACTCAATAAAAGACTTGTATTCTACCACATCACACATTTATTTTTAAAATATTGTGATTATTTACATTTGTAAAATATTCTAATTAAATGTTTGTGTAATATTTTTTTACCTGGACAATAAATTATCTTTAAACTCAACTTTTTATCACTTTTACAAACAAAAGTTGACATCTCTTTAGCTATTTAATGTTAATATTACTAATATACCCTTCATTTAATTAAAAAAATAGAGTAATTAACTCATCAAATATCAACAAGAATAGTTTAGTAAATTTAACTTGTATTTTACATAAAATCTACAAAATTAACTACTTTTAACTATCTTAATCATTATAAATTAGTTATTTTTATTTATAATAGTGACCAGATATGACAATTGCATATTTACCGGACTAAGATAAGCGCAATTAATCAGTATAACAAATTGTATAAATATATATATATATATATATATATATATATATATATATATATATATATATATATATATATATATATATATATATATATATATATATATATATATATATATATATATATATATATATATATATATATATATATATATATGGCAGTGGCACATATGTATATCTATCTCTTCAAACAACCTGTAATTGAGCTGTATATACTGTATTTATATGATAATTTTCTCAAGGGAGATCACACTGTACATTTTCTGGAGTTTGACAAAGGACCCTTAAAAACTGTCCGAATTTACTCACTTGGACGCGAGAAAAAAAAAATTTTTCCGTCCAAATGGATAGATCCGGAGGGGTATGGTTTTACTAGGGGAGTAAAAGTAGCTCCCAAACCTTAGCCTTGGCTCACTTCCATCTGCTTACAAAAGACCCAAAAACCTTAGAGGGGAAGCAATGGTAAGCAAGGAGAGGACTGAACTATATTCAAACAGCTTCTTTCAAACTATAGAATCAAAACTATACTGCATGGGCTACTACCACTTAACCATGTCTAATACTCTCCTGCTTCTGCCAAAAGTCTATCATACTCAAGCTTTGCTTCTTCAATTTTATTCCTAAGCTGTGTCACCTGCACAATCGTATCTTTAATGAGTCAAAACTTCAAAACAGTACATTTTCATTCTATGCACATTATGCAGAGGATCTAAATATTTAACCGAATCTAACAAATGCATCTAACTATGAGGGCACAAATTTAAACCAGATTTCGATCCGCTCACGAGTCAGGTGACTTTCCATATATCACAAACTCAGGTTGGAGAAGGAATCTGTGTTACTTATTATCAGTTCATCAATATTGGGAAAAGTTGCACCACGATTCAAAAGCAATCTAGGCAGCTGGACAATATATGGTAATAATATAACCATTTTTCTCTGTATCAGTTACCTTGAGAATAAGTTCCGCCTCCGCCTTTTCAAATGCAAAACAACTGTAAGATAAAAATGAGAGGAAACATAAGATATTTGCTTCAGTGTATTTCTGTTGCTATCTGTTAAATGAGTAAGTGTTGCCAAAGTCCAAACTAGATACAAAGAATTATAAACATGTCATGTAGCTAGTAGGGTTTAGCAGCAAAAGTAATCTCGACTGTAACTGAAACCAACTGAAGTAGTTGTATAATAGCATTCTATGAAATTAAATATCAGCAGTGACCATGTAATTAGAAATATACTCACTCAGCAATGAGTTTCTTGTTCCATTCCAGTAAGTTTGCAGTTTCTTGGTCAACTATCTGGTCTGCAGGAGATGCAGTGGTCTACGAAAAAAGCAAGGATGAAGTTGGCAATAAAATACTCTTCAATGATTTATGTTAAGAAATGTGGTTGGGCCTAACTCAACCCTACAAAACCGGCTGGTAGAGTGAGGATTACCTCCACTTATAAACACATGTTCTTAACACACCCCCTCACGCTCAGGACTAGACAACTGAAGCGTGGAAATAAATGGTGGGTGACCCGATAGCGGAAACCATAGAAGGTGACCCACCGGATCTTAAACGAGGCTCTTGATACCATATTGAAATACAAGAGACTAAGAGACATTTGAATAAACTGTGTGTTTTGAGAAGCACCACGGAGACATTATTATTCAAATGTCTCTTAGTCTCTTGTAGTGTTTTGAGAAGGACTACGGAAACATTATTATTCAAATGTCTCTTAGTCTCTTGTATTTCAATATGGTATAAGAGCCTCGTTTAAGATCCGGTGGGCCACCTTCTATGGTTTCCGCTATCGGGCCACCCACCATTTATTTCCACGCACCAAGCCCAAAAAAAAAAGTGCTGGGCGTAAGGGGGGGTGTATTTGGAAGATCCTAAAGTCCCAAATTGGTTGAAGATAGAGCATTGAAATAGTTTATATAGAGTGGCACCCCTCACCTTACCAACCGGTTTTGTAAGGTTGTGTTAGGCCAAAACTCTAATAATTTACAATGACAGAGCACAAAGTCCAAGAAAACAAGCATATCAACAGAAAACTAATAAACAGTTAAGCACCTGAACACTTTGATTGCAGCAAAGACGTGTTTCAATCTTTTCCACTGCTTGCCTTTTCACCTCATATTGATCTATAAATTCACGTGTCTTCGTCCTAGTAAGATATGCTGAACCACAATGAGAAACTTTTAGTTAGATATGATTAGCTTAGCTACTTGAAAATATAACTAGTTTCTCCTGCAAATTACTTTGTTCAGATCCGCCTTGTGAATTTGATATTGGTACAGGTGAAGAATAGTTGTCCAATGCAACTGGGTTTTCTGTAACAAGAGGTTTCTCCTTTGAGCGATTAAGAGGGCCAACAGGAACTTTACGCTTCCTTCCTTGACCCTGACACCCAATTTTATGACAATAACAATCCCTGCAAAATTTTAACAATGGCTCTGCCATATCAGAAAACAATGCTTAAAAATCAACAAATGGAGGGGGTTGTAAATAGTCTATGTTCAGATCCAGCGACAAATAATAGTAGCAGACAAGCGAGTGGGAATATTTTTGCAATCCATAAACACTACCAGTATTCCCATGTCATATCCTTCAAGCGTATTTCAAGCTTTTGAAACAGAGAAGTTCTCTCAAAATCTTGCTTATTATGAGTTGGCTGAACCTCATCTGCTTGAAGCATCCCTGAAACAAGAGTTACCGTCTTCTTGAAATCCAATACATTCATAAGACTTAGATGTAAAATAGAACTAGATATCTTCAAGTAATCTGCAGTTGCTTCTTACCTACAACTCCTCTACCCCTATTGCCATTCACAACCGGCCAAAATGGCTGCAAATACAAAGCTTAGCAGTTATATTATAAAGATAGAAGATGCACACATGATAAACTTATGCTGAATAAGTATATTAAATGTTTTGAAATGCTATTTACAATTCTGAACCTGAATAAATGCAATCTAACAAAAAAGTAATTTCTATTTTAATAAAATGTTGTCAATTTCGTCTCGTTAAGCCAGCTCAGTTGGTAGTTGTGCAGGGACATCAGATACAGGGGTGCGGGCTCAAACCGCGACATCCCACTTGTTCACCTTTAAAGAGCAAATTCTAGCCACTAGATTACTTGACCAAAAAAAATAATGTTGTCAATTTCCACAGGAGTGGAACTGTTGGGGAGTCTGGGGAAGCCGGAAACAAAACTATTGGCCCAATGCTCCAAGACCACAAAAGAGGAAGATGCTGCCACATATCCACCAAAAACCATAAGGCATTAGGCATATGTGTCACCTCTCTTATAAATCCAATATTCTATCCATTCATAGGCGATGTGGAACTTAACCAGTCACACTTGAACCCAACTGAAACTCTAACCACGGAGTTTATACTACAGTCTACATTGACTTAGGGTTACCTTCTCTCTTCTTCTGATCCTTCACTTATGAAAGGTATCTTATCCAACTCATTCTTTGTGACCCTTAAACAACAAACACCAATAACATTGTCCGACTTGGTAAGATCAACTATATGGATCAAACAATGTCTTCGTATTCTATCAAAAACTAAAATTCAGGAATTATATCACAGCCATTTTATAAGTTTCACATGAGGTTTTTTCGTTAACTTTCCAGTACTACTCAATAAGTAAACATTAATTTAATCAACATTTTCATGTTTTGATCTCTGTTTAGCGACAATTACCAGTATCAGCCGATTTTTGTGATATATATTGAAGCCATGGATGCTGACTGCAGGAGCTTCCTTAAGAAATCCAATTGTTGTCACAACTAATGCCTGCACAGTTAATCCAAAAAGAAAAGACCAAATCAAATTATAGCCAGCACTTATTCCTTGGTTCAATTAATTGATCCTTAATATTTGAAACACTAACTACTAATATCAACATTGAATATTGCATGCATTAGAATATAAAACAATTCATATGACCATGTGGTTCGGTCCTTCCTGCACCCATTCTTGTAGATAAAAATTAAAATTTCAGTACATAATAAAATGGAACGGTGCATTCTCCACACGTCCAAAGGGCTCTTGCATTAGAGGGCATGTGTTATAAGATATGAAATCATTAATGCTCTTACACCAATTGTCTTAAAACTTAAGATAATTGGTCATGACAAAGCCTATGTAGCCTGAAAAAAACCAACTCTTGTAAAAGCTTAAACCATTAGCCTGTCAGGTAAAGGTTCATAAATGATTTCATGTTTATAATAATAACATAGCCCAGACAATTTTTCATAGTGAATAGAGAAAATAAAATCAATAGTAAGATAAGAACCTCTTCTAAACCACCACTTTTTGGTCTATACACAATATACTCAATATCTTTAAGATCATCTGCTATGTTACGAAGCTTCACAGCTTGCCCTCGCAATATGATTCTAAAACTTTCAGGCACCCGCAAGTATAATATGGACAAGTAATCCTATCAAACATGGGAACGTTGTTAGTTTTAGAAAATCCAAACCTTATGCAGCATTTATGAATAGTTTTCTACATCAAGCATACACGTAAAGAATAATGAAGCCTGTTAGCAAGATGTTGCTCATTTACTCTCTTCCTGGCTAGAGACGTATCAATCTTCTGAATATCTCCAGCAATACGGATATCCTGCATCCAAATTTTCAGAAGTTGCCTATAAGTAGTGAATTTCATATGAGGTGGCAGTCAAAAACAGTAAAATCCATAATGAGGAAAGTACAACCTCGGGATCGGTATCAAAGTCTAGTTCCAAACTCCCATCATCATTGAGCCATAAATTGAAGATAATAATTTTAGTACCATGATTTTCAATGTCATCAAACTGCAAAAGAGAGGAATATATAAAGAGAATCCATCATAATCTTTGGAGTGATAAGCTTAATCTACTTAGATGCCAACAAACATTATAAACCAACTTGATATGGTGCACTAACTAGTTTACAAGGATTTCAAAAGCAAATTTTTCCAATTTGGTTATGTAATGCATAAATGCATCAACCAATAGGTGGGACCGTATTTCCTTTGATTTTATCAGCTTCCCGTATTAGATTTCTTTGGAGGCATCACAAAATTCCAGCCCATCAAAAGCCAAACGATTTCTCAATACTCTGAATGCCCTATTAAGGCATATATTATTGCAAAATATCTATCTAGTCTATCTAGCAATAGAAAAAGTAACACCCTAAAAAAGAAGTAAGCCAATCTAGTAAAGACCTCAGCAAGTCACCAGTGTAAAGCAAATAATGAACTCCTATAAAAGGAGCTCCTGGCTTTCAACTCTAAAATTTGACCAGAACCACAATCTCAAGCATAAAATGGCAAAAAATTGAACATCTTTTACTTTTTAACGACTTATAACCTTAACAAAATAGACAACCATGTAAATATAACACAATACTACATTCGTCCCTAAATATAATCCCCTTTTCGCCGATTCATACAAATTTAAAAAAAAAAAAGGTAATCTATTTATTTATTTTATAATCAGTCAACAATTTGCATTGCTTTTACAGAACTACCTTAAACTTTGGACTCATTTTTCTACTTAATTAATGATTGCCTCAATAAGAATAATTTTGTAAGAAAAATTAATTAATTCATCTAGTAATTTGGAAGGAAATTTATTAAAAGGGACACAAATTTCCAAAGGGATTAATATTTAGGGATTGGCATTCTACCATTATAAATTGCAGTCACAACTCTCAAAGAAGCCTAAGTAACAAATATTATAAGGAAGAGAATAATGAAAAAATGGCAAACATTCAAAGTAGTTTATAAGCACAAGACATGCACAAAGTTATGGTATCTGGAACAATGAAGCTGAAAACTCAAAGTATACAATCTTTTAATATGTTTTGAAAGAACAATCTAATTATCATGGATGGAGAAAAAAATTCGAAACTGACTTGTTTCAAAATTTCTGCTTCTGATCGATATGGAGACCAGTCCAGCAACAAAGACATGTTAGACCTAAAATGCTCTGGGTGATTTAGTTTTTCCAGGTATCCAGTTGATGTATCGCACTTATAACTTACCTGAAATTAACAACATCACCTAGTTGCGTCAAAAGGGAAATACTAGAGTAGAGCCTTTGTTTAAAAAGGTTATAATCATAATGAGAGTACAAGCAACGCTTCACAACACCGTGATGGATAACATAACAGGAAAATTACTGGGAATAAGGCTTAGTAATAGCCACCATAACGCCCAAGTTAACTACCTATCTTGCAAGTACTCTCTATTGTTCACACCAACATACAAGTCTACTAACGATCAAAAGAATAGAAAATTTAAGAACAAATACAATAAATTAGTCTTTTCTTGAAAAATTTGTTTAGTAATTAAGAAATAGTTCAATAGAAACACAAGCCTTTTCTTTAAAAATCAACGTTCTTGATGTTTTGGCCAATAACTATTAACCTAAGAAAATATGAATTTTAATTGGGTAAAAGGGATTTTGGGTCAACGAATTGTCCTTAACCTGTTTAGTTGATTTGAACGTAATGTTAAACAGACTTAATTGTGTTGATAGAAAATTCTAGAGCATGATACCGCAGAGGATGGGATTCCAAATCCTAGTTGCCTGTTATAATTGTTAATTCAATGTTTTGCGGTTTATTTTTGGTTACTTAAATTATTCCAGCAGTTTACTTTTCACCTAAGAAAACTAACTTTCTTGCACAATAAATTAAAACACAATCCTTAAAGAGATGATCTTTCTTGTCACTTTTACTAGGTACGGTTTTCCATGTAACATTTTTGGCAAACAAAATCAGCATTGCGAAGAAAATTAGTATTTTAATTAATGCACTATATAGAACTGAAGTAGTAAAAATGAGAAATACTACTCACCATGGGCACTACAATTCTGTCAAGTTGTGCTCGTGACAAGAATGAATAAGATAGAAGTCCAATGCTTTTAGTACATACCCTGATCAACACAGACAATTTAAAGAAAAAGACTATATTTCTATGTCAATATACAAAATAGGTAGCCACATTATGTCAATCTAGTAGGAAACACAATGCATAAACAAAACTTCGGAGTCATGCGAAATTCTGTTTCAAATCCTTACACATCATCATTCATGTGGCTGCTGAAGACAATTGCATCTGCACCCAGTCTCATACTACCAGTCTTGAAACCATTTCCATCTGCAAGGCCAAACTGAAAAATAAATATAAAAGAAAATACAGAATACTTTGAATAAAGAATGTCATAGTCCATACACTGTCCAATTGCAGATTTTGACGTCTTATCCGAAAATCCAAAACTCATGCAACATCGCATTGCTTCTGGATCCATTCCACTACCATCGTCTGATTGCCAGTGTCAACACAAAGTTACAGAAGTAGGACTAAAATAAAAACCCATGAACTTTTATAATTGATGAGTAGCATAAGCAATATACCTTGAATCAACAATGCTGGAGTTCCATCTTTAGGATTTAAAATATTATCCACCTTAACAGAAGTAGCCCCATTTTGAATCTACCTTATGAACAAAAGTCAACAATGCAATCCCAAATTAGAAAATGAAATGAAAAATATTAAATGACAGCTAAGAAATGGCAAAAGCACGCAACAATTAAGGTGATCGACATAAAAATTTAAAACTAACATATGCAAATAACAATTTCTTTTAGAATGGAAAAATACATAAGAGATGACAATTAAAGAATAGATTATTTAAATAAGAAGAACTTAACATCAAAAAAGCCTACTTCTAATCATTTATTTCTATAAAAGATAAATTGCTCTTTGTGGTGCATGCTTAAATAGAACTCCCTTCCTTGAAAGTTATATAAAAGGAAACGGCTAGAAGACAAAACTATATAGGCTAGGGAAATAACACCGATGAATAAAATAGCACGGTTTATATACTTCAAAACTTTTGGTTTCATAGTTCAAGTGAATGAAAAATCACCTCATCAACTGCATTATCTAGAAGCTCGGCTATGGCTGCATACACAAGAATGGAAGTAAATACCAACTCATGAAGAGAATCACAAAGTTATAGCATATAGAAGAATCACGTAGACGAGATAAGTTTACAAAGGCCTTTAGACATACCACCAAATACCCATTTGTGTGAGGTTGCATTAGAGTGAAGGAACAAAGGGTGGACATGAAGATAGTTATTTGCATCTGCAATCCATTTATTAAAAAAATAAACATTATCAAGCCAGAGAGTCAAACACCATTTGAACTACAAGCATATGATATCTGCAAACTAAATTAATTCCTATGACAATCAAATTGAAAAGAATTGTTAATGGTCAACATTCAATGAAAATAACTTAGGTTAATAAAACATTGACAGGAAGATTGTCAAACACAAGTTTTTACATCAACTCGTCTTTCCTTGGTGAAATCGACTCGTAAACCCAAACAAGTTTACCTCATTAAAATTATTATATATATAACACATAAACTTCAACAATACTATAAATACATCAATAATTTAAATTTTCAACTTAATTATAAAGCAAAAATATAGCAAAAAATCTTAATAAAGTGTTATACTCATAAACTTGTAACCAAACCATATAAATTACTCCACAAAAGCATAAAAACAACCCAAAAATAAGTGTTTTATAAATTAAAAGTTAAAACTATCCCATAAAACAAGAGTTAAATTCTTCAAAATCAAGTAAAATCGTATCAACTCGAATTTCGATTTTACAAGCAATTTAACTCAAAATCCACTCCTAAACATGTAAAATTGTAAGCTATTACTAGTTAAAACACGATTTGAACAATCATAATTGACAGTAGTAGTTAGATATATTAATTTGAGAAGCATTATATTAGATTACATTGGGAGCCGACTTTCGAACCAAGGCCATCACCATAATTTCCAGCGCTCCAAAACTTCCTACAAAGGGGTTCTGCAGGAAGTCGTTGTGAATTAGAAATCACAGAGTCATCAACATTCAAAAAGCCTAGCCCCGAAGCACCAGTGTAACTACGACATGAACTTCGACCACTAGAGACTATATTTTCATCAGAAACTTGACTAAAAGCTTCAAGGTCATTCTTAACCCCTTCATAGTCAAATAAGTCCACAATTTTCATAGCTTCCATCTCTATGCCTATATATCACCGGAGTAAGTATCAGTCATAAATTTGAACAACATACATTGATTGATTTTTGTTGACCGGGCCTCTGAAACACCACATAAACAAATTATAAACAAATTATAAAAAATAAAAAATAAAAAATAAAAAATCTCTAAACTTCAGAGTGAATATCAATCTAACATGAAAATTGCAACGTAACAGCAACAGAGTGAATGATATATTAGATAATGAAACAAAATAGCACAAAAACAAGTAGAAGTGAAAATGTGAAGGGTTTGAATCAAAATTAAAATCGATCATAATTGTATTGAAGTTGCAATTGCATGCACAGGTTTTGAGTGCGCATAAAAAAACAAAACGACAATGTAACGTACCGAAATCGTCTAGAAAAGGAAGACTAACCGAGTAGAGTAGAGAATGAGGGAAGAAAGGAATGGAGGTGGCAAGAAAGAATTCGTACGTACGGTGCTTTTCCAACAAGTTGTTATAGCAGCGCCTCCGTTTATCGAACTTGCTTCTCCTAATAATCATTACTCCTTCAAGTTTTTATTATACTTATTGTTTGACGACATTAAAATATTATATAAAAATCATAATAAATCATTTTATAAAATTAAAATATTTTTTTTATATTTTAGGTTTAACTGTATTAAAATGTTATATAAATAATTATTATAGCAAAAGGAGAAATTACAAAAAATTTATAAAATATTTTTTATTAATAATATTGAGAAGATAAATTTACATAATTGTTAAAAAAAATAATAAATATTTAAAGATATAATTAAAAATAATATTAATAATTTATTAGTATTATAAAACGAATTATACTTATAGAAAAAAGAGAAATTACAAAAGATTTTATAAAGTTATTTTTTATAAATGGTATTGGGAAGATAATTTTTTATTAATGGTATTGGGAAGATAAATTTACATAATTAAAAACGGAGAATAATAAATATTTAAAGATATAATAAAAAAATTAATATTAATGATTCATTGGTATTATAAAACGAATTATATTGTGTTATAATTTTTTTTGAATTTATAGTTTATAATTGGTGCACTTCAGTTTTGTTTAATTTTTTTATAAAAATATATAGGTAGATATTTGTGTGATTTTTATTGTATTATTGTTTTAAAATTTTAATTTATTTTAATTTATTTAGAAATAATTATTTTAGTATTTTACTATCTATTTTAACTTTCTTAAAATAATAAAAAATATTGCATTAATTGTATTTAATTCTTATTTTCTTTTTATGCACAAATTATGTTTCATTTAATTTGTTTTGATTTTTATTTAAAAACACAATATTTTAAATTTTGATTGTTTTATTTGATTTCTATTTTAATACAAAAATATAGAATAAATTAACTTTATTTGATTTTATTTGATTTCTATTATAATAAAAAAATACAAAAAAGATTTTATTTTTGTTTGTTTTATTTTAATTTCTTTTATTTTATTTTATTGAGTTATCTTAAGGATCAAATAAATATTTTGGAAACTTGTGATATGATTTTCTTTATTTATTAAAAAGATCAAAATCAAATAAATTTTAATTTGGTTATTTTTAATTATTTGATTTTCTTTCCACTTTTAATTCACATAATTTTGTTGTATAAATAAAGGTGGAAAAACACGAAAGAAGAAGAGGAGGAGGAGGAAATTAGAAAAAACCAATGTACCAAACTTTGGAGCAAGGAATCAAATTTGCGTATAAATTTTTTTGATAGGCGAATCAAAAATTTTCGTACAACTAAAATTTTCGATAGTGTATTTAGAATTTCCAGTATGAACCAATATCAGAATTTTTAAAAATTTTGAGACGTTTGCAACTTTATCAGTATTTTTAAAAATTATCATGTTATACTAGAAAGTTCAACCAAAGTGAAATTTTCGGTAGTTCAATTTTATAAGATTTCAAACGGTTAGGATGATTGCACTGACTCTTTTGTGTGCTCCAGAATAAATTCAAAGTTGTATAAATAAGGGTCACCTGTTGTTGAGAAACATCTCAAAATGTCTCTTCCTCAATTTTTTATTAAGGTAGAAGTTTAATTCAACAGAGTTGCACCTCATGTAGAGTTTCGACTTCCGGATGACATCACATCTCTTTCGCCTTGACATCCAAGTTGAATGAATTGTTGTCAGATACCAATAACACAAAGGTGAAAAAAAATCGAGTTTCGTGAAGATTGGATTGATATTAATGGAATGGCGAAATACAACCTTATTTGGTTGAAGGTCGACGAAGATTTGACGGTTATGTGGAGATTATTTCATTGTAGGTTAACTAAGGGGTCGGTCAAGTTAGATGCAAATATTTCAATATATATTGATGACATAATTAAGATGTTGGAACTTCCAGAATCATCTGGCAGTGTTTAGATTTTCTTATTTATTATGTTTTCTTAAGTTATGTAATTGTCTGTCTAAGTTATGTAACCCTTTTTTAAATGTTAAATTATGTTCATCATGCATTAATAGAATATCTAAAATATTATCTAATAAAAAATGTTGTGCATATATCTGAGTAATATTACACATCATATACAAATAATACATAAAATAATAATTATGTCTAAATAGGTCCCCCACAGGCTATGTGTCTTGTCTGCGGTAATCCAATAAAAACTTCACCATCTGGGTTTACCAAACCCATGAGGTTACCCATAATAACTGCAATCATCTGCAGACGTTATTGGTCATCAGCATCAAGTGGAGGTGGTGGCGCATCATCGGTAGGCACCCCAACATCACCTGCATGTTCAATAGGTGGGATGATGTGAGGGTGTGAAACAATAAGGTACCACTCCAAGTAACCATCCTAACATTGTGAATCGTGTTGAACCATCATTGCGTGAAACCATTTGTCAATGCACGTAGCTAGAACATCCAAAACTGGTCGTGGGATGCCTCAAACATAACCATATTGTTGCATACACCTATCAACCAAGTGTCTAGCGACAAAGGTCTCCCACCATATATAACAAAAAATAAATAAAGAAGACTTGTCAAACTCAGGGTGAACTTTGTGACATGTGTATGGTGTTCAAATGACATCATCTACAGTCAGCGTATCAAACCTCCTCTTGTACTCCATAACACCACCTAGTTGTGCCTGCCTAGACTTCCATCTCCTTCCTCGTGGGGCACTATCAAGGGTATGATGCACGATTATGTCATAAATGGTAGGAAATGTTTGTATATCCAACACTAATAAAAGAACATAAACAATACAAATAAGAATTTCAAGTATACCTGGAATAGACTCAAATAACAAGAAAGTTGTTTGGTCTCAAAGGATGTCGTAACTCCAAGTGTTGTATATCGGATGGTCAATGTAGCACACCCTTAAGCCCAACTAGTATCATAAAGGCCATTAAATAGCCACATGTATTGAACGTCAATATACACGTGAAACTTAACCTCAAAAGGAGTACATGCTACTAGACGTGACATGTACACCCTAGCGGTAGCCTCATACGTATGTGCCTCCACAAGCTCATGGTACCTATCCCGAAGCCAAGACACCTGAATATGTGCTCCCCTGTTAATTTCAAACTCCTCTAGCACGACATCCTCAGTAACTCCCAAATCCAAACAGTCATCATACATGCAAGCTTCTGGCTAATAACAGGAGTGGTGAAGAATCTCTTGGCGATTGGGAGATGGAACAAGGTGAAGGCATCATCCAGAGTGATAGTCATCTCTCCAAATAAAAGTATCACAGCGCGAAAAATACCCGAGCGTGTCGCATGCTCAAAAATGTAACAGAGTCGCCACTGAATTTTATTTATTCTAACAGAAATGGAAGATATCAATAAAACCGAAAAGAAAGAGAAAGGGGTACGGAAGTCGGCTATGGAATTGGAAGGTAATAGCATCCCTCATATCTGTTGTACTCAACGGGAAGCGCTTTAATTGTTCTTTGCATGGATGGGTGTTATTATCTAAATGTTACTTATGATTGGTTTTAATTAAAGGAAAAAATAAAATTTTAATTAATGTGCTCGCCAAGATTTTAAAATCATGTGCCTGCGTATTCTCAAGATGCAATGAGAAAATCAGAGCTCTGTAGTTCATGGAGAAGAAAATAAGTATTTGTTGGTTGATTTTAGGGAACAATATTATAATCGTATCCTAGAAGTATTTTGACGCTAGTTGTTTGATTCTGGTTCAGATGCTCTAAGTTATTAGTCTGACTGTTAAGGAATGAATTATAACAATTCTTTTATGAAAAGAAATTGATGTTTGGTGTCTGAACTAAGGACAGAGAATTGTAAAGGTAGTGTCTGAGCCGAGGACAAAGAATTGTAAAGGTGTGGTGTCTGAACTAAGAACAAAAAATTTGTAAAAGTGGTGTATGAACTAAGGAAGTGGTGTTTAAATCAAGGAAGTTGTGTTTAAACTAAGGAGGTGTTGCAAGGGTTTTCTTAAACCGTAGATTAACAAGGCAAACAGGAATAAGGGTTTGCCTAAACTAGAGTATTAACAAGGAAAATAGGAATAAGGATTTACCTAAACTATGGGATTAACAAGGAAAACAATGGTTTTCCTAAACCAGAGGAATAACAAGGAAAACGAGAATAAGTTTTTGCCTAAACCAGGGGATTAAAAAGACAAACAAGGGTTTTCCCGATCCAGGGGATTAAGAAGGAATACGGGAATTAGATGGGTGTCAAAACCAAAAGTAATTATATTGGAATGTTTTTGATATTGGTTGTGATTGATTCTAGTCTAAAGACAAATATTCAGATAGGGAGCTCTACAGCAGTGTCTGAATCATTCGGGGAGAGATAAACTACATCCTTCTCCTTTTTCTTCCTTGTATTATGAAAAATTGTCTTGATTTGAATTGCACTAAAGTCTATGAGTGGAGGTGAGTACTTTGAACAATTGGGTATGCGTCTTGTATCCAAAGATATTCAGAATAAGGGTAGGAATGCTCCCACCTATTCATTATTCTTTTCTTAAGGCTTGTGGCGTACAATTT